CGTTATAATGATAATTTTTATATTTTCAGAAAACTGTATAATTCATATAGTTTTCTGTCAACAGGAAGCAGTCATTTCATAGGTTTGGCTATAAAGAACAATTTTATGACCTCATTGCAAATGCTTCAGAGGATTTTTAAATTTTGTGGTAACTCCGCAAATGCAAAAACTTATAAAATGTCTGATATGCTATTTCCAGACTCATTTTTTTGTTTAATTTGTGCCCTCCTTTTACATTTTATAAAGCAAGCTCTCTACGTTATCTTTCTTGCTATTTATAATTTATCTTTTTTCAGTAGCAATGCAAGTGTGTTACTTCCAACATGTCTTTTGAGAAATATGGTTTTGTCTCTAACAATATTATTCATTATATTTTTTCTAAAAAACTGTCTTTTTATTTTTTTTTATTTTCATCAGCTTTCAACAATGCTGCAAGCAACCACTAATTGTTAAAGTGTTGGAAGTTACTCGAAGAGAAAAGATGAAAATTGTAGAGCAAGATAGCAATCGACAGACAACTTAAAAGATTGAAAATTATATGAATCAGGAAAGCAAGATGAAGGAAGCGAATTCCAAAGAACTGATGTTCGTGGGAAAAAACTAGACGAATAAGAGTTTTTGGAGCACTTAGGAACAGTAACAGAAAAAGGATGAGACTTAATTGAATTTTGTATATGAATGAATTTTAGTAGCTGGCACAAGAGACGCTAGCTCTTTAGAGCAGTGCCCATTATAGTATTTGTAGAAATGAGAAAGAGAAGCAACATTACTAGGATGTGACAAAGATTGAAGGTTGGCTGCAAAAGGCAACTCCAACTAGGTTTACAATGCGTTTTTGCACTTTGTCTAAAAATGAAAGGGCATCATTAGAAGATCCGCCCTAGATATGGCAACAGTATTCCATACAAGGATGGATTTGAGATTTATAGAGATAGAGAATAGAATCTAGAGTTAGAAAGTGTCAAGCTCGATAAAGAGATGCACTTTAGCAGATGCTAATTTTGCAACGGATTTGATATAAGGTTTCTAGGAAAAATCAGAAGTAAGAGTTAATCCTAGAAGATAAAGGGTAGATGACTTATCAAGTACATTAATGTTCATAAATATAGGAAGGTCTAAACTATTATGATAATGGTTGGCTGAAAAAAATTGAGTTTTATCTGAATTAAAATTTACCAGCCACTGTAAGCCCCATGCTGTAGCAGAAGTGAGATTCTTTTCAAGTTCAAATGCTCCCTGCAAGCAATCAGAGGGAGTTAACTTCTTATCGTGACAAGAATAAATGGTAGTATCATCAGCGAACAATGCCAACTTAGATGTGAGAATATCTGGAATATCGTTAATGTAAATTAAAAAAAGTATAGGGCCGAGGATTGAACCTTGAGGAACCCCTGAGAGTACAGAATAAGAAGAAGAGTGCTGTCCATCAAGGACAACTTTTATACTACGATTGGAAAGGAAGGATTCAATAATCTTAAAGATGTTTCCAGATACACCTTAAGAAGAAAGCTTATGGAGCTTATCAAACGCTTTAGAAATGTCAAGAACGGTGGCCTTAATCTTTCCACCTTTATCTAATGCGCAATAAAACCTATCAGTTATTACTGTTAGTAAACAGCCATTGAACGAGATGATCAAAATCCATATTGATGATCAGAAAGTTATTAGATTCAAGATGAGTGATTAAGTGTTTGTTAATTAAAGATTCAAAAACCTTGCTTCTGATAGGAAGAAGACTAATGGGACGGTAGTTAGACAAATCAGATCACTCTCCAGAATTTTTTATAATAGGGATAATAGATGCTGCTTTCCAGCAGGCTGGAAAACAAGACTCTGATAAGCACTTGTTAAATAGTTTTGAAAGGATAGACGACAGCTCCGGAGAACACTTCTGCAAGACTATAACAGGCATGTTGTCTGGGCCGCAAGCTGTAGAAAAGTCTCAGCAGAAAATCATTTTAGATACAGTAACTGGAGTGATAAGGATGTCGAGCAATGGATCAACCTGTTTGACGGCTATATCAGGTAGAACCTAACTAGTGGAATTAAGAGATAATATTGATGAAAAGTTCTTAGCTAACAATTCAGCTTTGTCTTTAGGTGAGGTGACAAAGTCTGAACCATACAGAAGAGGTGCAATTATAGACTTGCCCTTATTATTGATGCTATTAAAGATTCTCTAGAAGTCAGGAGAGCCTAATTTTTAAGATGAAATACGAGATTTCATGATCTGAGAATAGCGGGCTTTGGCGTTAGATAAAATCTTTTTACAATGGTTCCTAGCATTTATAAACAGACGTTTTTTTTCTGGAGAATTGTTTTAATGATAGATATAAAAGTAATGGTTTCCATTGTAAATTGCAGCAGCACAATGTGAGGAAAACCATGGAGAAGAGTGAGGCTTGATCTGGAATCGTCGAGAGGAAATAAAAGATTCCATGCCAGCCTGAAGTTATGAAGTTATGTAAGAAGCACATTTGTCAACAGGAAGACAAAAGATTTCTACCCATGGGCCATCACAAAGAAAATCATGTAAAGAGTTTCAGTAAGCTTTAAGGTAGTTGTAAGATGTGAGATAATAGGGGGAGTCTGATGATAAAGAATAAATTTTAGAATTAAAGGAAGATAATTATCAACACTACAATCGCAAGATGAGATAGCTGAACTCAAATTAGTCTCACAAAGAGCAAGTAGGCTTGGTGAACATTGCAAGAGATAAGACTCAACAGAAGAAAAGTTACTTCGAAGACCACGAATATTAGTGAATGATTTTTGAATGAAAAGTTTAGTGAACTTGGTGATGACTGTGGTTTTTTGTGTTTTAAAGTTTTTGTTACTTTATTCATTTTTAAATTTGTGAAAGAACTTGACTCCAAACATAGATAGGACTCAGTACACTGTTTAATAGTCCAAGCAATTGGGCTATAAGTAAGCAAAATCTTGATAAGAAATATAGAGTGATATTTCCCTAGTTACATTTGTAAAAACTGGTTGCTATGGATACCAAAAAAATAGGGCTTATTTAAAATTATTTATGTTTTTGAACATTTTTTAAACTTTTTAAACTTTTTACTTAATAAACTTTTGCCTTAATAAACTTTTATACTAAACTTAATTGCCTTAATAAACTTTTAAGAAGAAAAAAAAGTTTTTTAGTGATATACCTGTATACATCCACTTAAATTTTTACATTTTTTGTTTTTTAAACCTGGAAATAATCTATAAGTATACAAAAAACAATCCTTCTCTTTATCTAATAATTTTTCGTTGCAGCTTTACCCTTTTGGTTTTCTATTTTTTCATTTTAGATTGGCTAGTTTATGTTTAATTTAATAGTTTAGTCTAATTCTTTTTTCCCAGTAACAAAGGAAGCATGGATTTTTGTTGAAACTTCTTTGTTGCCCTGTTTCATAGGATGTTTTACAGAAGTTAGTTTTTTACACTGTAAAATACTATATTATATATATATATATATATATATATATATATATATATATATATATATATATATATATATATATATATATATATATATATATATATATATATATATATATAATATATATATATATATATATAAATATATATATAAATATATATATAAATATAAATATATATATATATATATATATATATATATATATATATATATATATATATATATATATATATATATATATGTATATATATATATATATATATATATATATATATATGTATATATATTGATTTAGTAATTTTAATAAACTCAAAACTTATTTTCTAATGTTTGTTTACAAAATAAATATAATTTGCTTCTGCACTTAAGAATCCCTTTAAGAAAACTTTGATAAAAGCATTTTAGAGATTTGCACTTTTAAAATGTTTCTATGACTTTAAATTAATACTTTAACGAAAATTACTTGATTTAAATACTTTACCAAATCATATTGGTTTTGAAAGCGAGTATGGAACATAGTATCCAACCATTCAGCCATTTTTGACTCAATACTTTTACTTCAATAGATCCTTTCAAAACGTGTCTCCTGATATTCTACTGAAAACAAAAAATGTAAACAAAGTATAATGCCTGCTTCACATTTTTCGGTATGGATGTCCAAAATAATGAACCTTCCTCGTTGGAGAGGATAAATGTAGAGGTCCTGATGCAAGATAAGCAGTGAGACTCTGCTATATTGACTGGTGATTAAAAAGTAAGCAACAATCCAAGGTAGTAGGGTTTTACTTACAACCAGTTTTTTTTTATCTTAAGCTAAATGTTCTTTTTTAAATTTACACATTTTTGACAATTTACACTCAATTAAACCCATGCAGTGTATTGGTTGCACCAGTCAATCTATAGCCCTACCATTTAGTCTCAACATTTTTTTTCAATAGAAACAATTTTATCCTTCTCCCAGATATCTTTTTTTTCAAGTTGCAAATTTTGAAAAAGTTTTAGTTTTTAATGTTTATTATACAACTTATACTCTAAAATCTGGTCATTAAAATGTTATGATTATATGTTCATAAAGTAGACTTTATCTTAAGTTGCATAAAAAAATAGTCATTAAAATGTTATGATTATATGTTCATAAAGTAGACTTTATCTTAAGTTGCATAAAAAAATAGTCATTAAAATGTTATGATTATATGTTCATAAAGTAGACTTTATCTTAAGTTGCATAAAAAAATAGTCAGTAGATTAAATAAGCATACATTTTTTGAAGTATATGTTTTAACAGCTATATTACATGTGATAAAATAAAGCTTTTGATTTTCAATTTTTTATTCAACAATATTTTATTCAACAATTAACATCTTTGTTTTAAAAAAAAATAATTACAAAATTTACCAGGCAGTATTTTTTTTTAATTTACCAGTAAATTTACCACATTTTACCAAATTACCCTAAAAAGTCTTAAATTTCTGGCACCAAAATCTGTAGACCTGATCATTGACTTAAGGTTGTTTTTTTTATTTTTTATGGCATATGCAATTTTTTTAAATTTCTTTTACAGTGTTAGTGGCTCATGGTGGTTTTGAAAATGATTTCATGATGATTCAAGGGAACATGCACAGATTTGGGATGAACATCAATTTATTATCAGACATGTGTTTTGCTGACACCTACTATTTTGCTAAAAAAGTTTGAAATTTTTAAAATTAAAAGATTCAACTATTTAACATCTTGTTGCTTATTTATGGGATAATACGTTATTTTTTGTATTCAGCTGCGCGAAAATGGTTTGAAAATTTTACAAGGCAGTCAACTTTCTATTAAAGAGCTTTTAAAGAAAATTTTTCCTCATCAAAAATTTCATGGTGAGAGATTTTTTAAAATTTAATTTCAATTTTTATTTTGATCTCAGGTGATTTTATTAGATACTTATCAATTTTTTTTTAATTTACTTTGTTTTTGCAGAATATATTGTGCTATTGGCATAGTTGGCTGAATTTTTATTAAAAATTCAAATTTATGCAACTTGTTGTATTATTTAATTTTTAGGACTGCATCGAGCACTTTCTGATGTAAAGTTTATGATAAAAATTTTTCTAGAATCACCATTAAAAGGTCAATTTAATGAGATAGAAATTGCAGCTTTTAATAAAAC